AGCCCGCGGGGCCGGCGCTGCGAAACGGCCGCGCGTGGGCAGCGCCGCGAGCGCGCCGTGGAGCGGCCGGTCACGGCCGAGGCGCTGCCCTCGGGAGCAGGAGCTCTGCGTGGGAGCAGGAGCGCGCGCTGCGGAGCGCCCGGCCGGCTCCGCGCTCGCTCCGCGCCTTTTCCCTGGGGCCGCCGAGCGCCGGGAGTGCCGCGGGAACCTGGCCGTGCTGCGGGGCTGCCGTGAGGGGTTCCCGGCGGGAATGTCCCACTGCGGGGCTGCCGTGAGGGGTTCCCGGCGGGAATGTCCCACTGCGAGTCACAGAACGGGGTGCGGGATTCGCTCCCCCAACTGCCACCCGGAGCAGCGGGGCCAGCCCCACTGTGGGCAGAGCAAGGGGCCAGGCAGCCTGGCTGCAGGACCAGCCGGGTGTCTCGTGTCCTGATGAAATCCTGTTTTCCCGGCAAAAACGGAACAGTCTCTCCTTCAACAGGTGATAATCAGCACAACTGCAGATGCTGTACAGCCAAAATGAGCCAGTTATCAGAGCAGATGAAACACAACATCTCAGGCAAACACTTGGCATTTATACAGTAACACATCTGAACACTCCCCAAGTTTGCTTTTTTGTTCCTCGCTGCTCTATAGTCTTATTCTGTTTTCAAAATCMCAAACAAATGCCGCTAATGCAAAGTGGTTCTGCTTCATTGCAACTAATATCCTGCAACCACCTTGTATCAGCATAAAAGGTGTTCTCGTTTCCAAGCTGCRCATTAGCACTTGTGCACACAGCTTTTAATGCAATTCTTACATGTGAATCAAAGTTCCAAGCATTCAGGATCTCCAGGGTCACCCAGGAYAAGGTTTGGTTTCCATTTCTGGAGACAGGCCCCCCTCTGCTTGGGTATGCTGGCTGAAAATCCTAATCCTTGTGCAGAACGTGAGGGCAGCACCGTTCCTTTCTAGGTGACCCTGCGGGTTTGCACAGGCTGATTCCGCAGCAGTGCAGCCAGGGCACCACGAGCGTCTCCTGCTTGGGATTTTCAAGAGGTCAGGGTGAGATCGTGTCAAGGAGAGATTTTAAACGAAYCCTACCCCTGCGCTGTGAAACACAAGCCTTTGAACGCTACCGTTTAGCTGGTGCAGCTCCAGCAGAGCCTGCGCTGTGCGAGGTTTGAAGCGCCAAAGGGCAGCCTTGCTTTCCTCGCCCTTGCACAGAGCGGAGCGATCCCAGCACTGAGCGGTGCCCTGGGCTGGCGCGGGCAGAGCAGGGACGTGCCCGCGGCGCCAGCCGCGCGCGGAGACGCTGCCCCGCGCCGGCCGCACCGCGCCGGCCGCACCGCGCCGCTCCCGCCACGCGCGGGCAGCCCCCCGGCAGCGCCGAGACCGCTCTGCCCCGTCCGCTGCCACCCACATCCCCAGCTCAGCTGCTTCACGAGGCACAATAAAAGACAGAAAAGAAACAGGAAAATAAGAACCCAAACTGCTGCCCGGAGGGAAGCRCCTGCTTGGTGCAGAGTACCTGGTATTCGCTCTTTGTGTTTGCAGAGATGAGCAGGCAAGGCAGAAGGACAGGCCAGTGTCACCTTGCCTCCCTAAAACARGAGCCAACTCTGCAGTCAATGGGACAGGGACACTGTACTGAAGTACAGTTACATTCCTTACATTTAAGACAGATTTTGCATCCATCACACCCATCACAAATGCACCTTCCTAAACGAATGGTCAAACACATTAAATGCTCCAAAAGTTCAGCATGTGCAGCCTGCTTAGAGTACAGAAGGAAATAAAGTGATTCTTCCTTAAATGGTGAAGTTCAGCAATATAAAAGAGCGACATTATACCGGCAACAATTTGTGAGGAAAACATGTAAATGAACTAACCTTAAGTTTCTACATTTTTTCATAGAGCTGACTTAACAAACACAGGCTCCTGTGTTTGTTTCCCAGGAGYCTCCATAAATGGTGCCAAGGTAAAGGGACCTGGTAGCTGCCCATRCAGGCAGGAAGATACCCTCTTATCAAGGGGTGGGAAGGAAGGGTCTCCCACGACTCGGAAGCAGCTGCAGGAAAGCAAGCAGAGAGCAGCTGTTTCCAAAGAGTGATTTCCRGGGAAATCTTTCCGTTTCAAGGAAAGCTCATGCTGTGCTGACAGAGGAACTTCAGAAGGACCTCAGAGCTGCTTATGGCCAAGAGCGTCGGGAGACGGACCACAGGGCAAATACAGATAAGGCCAGGCAGGCAGACACGCAGCCCACGAGATAAGGTTTAATTGCTTTCTGTGGATGCATCGGGTATAGGCAGGAAATCTTCAATTCAGGACTGAAGTTCAATTTGACGTGAGCCAAGACCCACATCCAAATACATACGTGCTCACCCCCGGGTGCAGCACTGGCTGCTGATCAACGAGCCTCYCCGAGCCGCCTCGTCAGACACAGGCAGTGCCCAGGTGAGCGCCCGGCTTGTTGACTCCTCAGACAAATCCTGCTGCTTCCACTCAATTTGAAGTAAGCCTGTAAAAATGAATTTAAATGGTGAGACAAGGGCAGTTTGTGCTACAAATTCATGCCATGATGCTARTTTCATCAGATTATTTTAGTTTTCCTTGGGCTCTAAAGCAGAAATACAATTACAGTCAGGCAAGTTTGTTGTCATTAATCATTTAACCATTAGTCAATTTATACGAGACTAAGGACTATTAAACAAATCATGCATATTTAATGGCTTATTATGATGTATTTGCATTTTAGTCACTTGAATTTGTCATTACTTTCGACCTTGYGTGAGCTGTAGTGTGTTTCTTACATAGCCTCTTAAACTGGACATGTTTATTCCCACTCGAGAGAGCCAAATCGGACACAGAAACGTTTTTTAGGCTATTAATCAATATTAGAGAAAATAAACCAGTGCTTTGTCTCAGACAAGGCATTTTCAACACACGGCAAACGCTTCAGGAGCAAACACCTCCCAGCCCAAGACGGGGCAAGCTCCCTGCAGCTCTGCAGAGCCCCCTGCCAAAGGACCCCGGGGAGG